AAATTTTTTTTTTTTTTTTTTTTTTTTTTACCTATTTTTGCTTTTAATTTGTTTATCGTATTAATTTCCTTTTTTATTTTTCATTATTATTAATAATATAAGTTTTAAATTTTACAAAAGAAAAAAATATAAGTAGTATGATAATTTTTTTTTTTTTTTTTTTTTTTTTTCTTTTTGTAAAATATATATTGGTTTATATAATAATTAAAACATTTATATATTGAATAATATACTGATTAAAATATTTAATGAATTATTTGCTAAAACAATTATTAATCTACACCTTACATTATTTACCTAAATATTTATTAAATTATTTACTAAAAATTATTATATTCTATTAAAAATTTAATTCTTATGTTAAAATACTTATAAAAAATTCTATTAACTTATATAGTAAAATAGATACAATATATATATAGTAATAATAAAATATTAACTAATACAATTTAAAAAAAGAAATAAAACTAAAGAAAAAGATATAATATCAAATATAATTTATAAAAAAAAAAAAAAAAAAAAAAAAATAGAGAAATGTAAATAATCATAAATTATAGATTCAACTAATATAAAAGTTATATACTTGAAAAAAAAAAAAAATATTTTAATTTTTATTTTTCATTATTTTGTTGAAACTTTTTATTTCTATAATATGTGTTAAAATGAAAAATATTAATAGGTACGTTTTCATTTGGAGATAAGGGTTTTTCTCTTAAGTTTTTATCTTTATCAACATAATTAAACCATTTATATTTGTTAAACTCTTCAATATCTTTCTTAATAGTGATGTGTTTAAAATTATATCTTTCAACTAAGTGTTTTCTTTTGTCTTCTGATAGTTTCACTCCATATTTACTTCTACCTCTAAATCTATTCTTAACTGGTAATAAATCATAAACACCTCTAATAGCTTTATAATTGCATCCAGGAATATCTTTACATCTTCCCCCTCTTACTAAAATAATACTATGAGTATTTAAATTATGCCCAATTCCTGGTATATATACGGATACTATTCTACCTGTAGATAATCTAACACGTGCTATTTTTTTCAATCCAGAATTAGGTTTTTTAGGAGTTTGAACACGAACTTTTAAACATATTCCTCTTTTTTGAGGAGCTCCTTCTAACCATTTAGATCTCCAGTTTTTTTTTTTTAATTTTGGTATTTGTTTTGGCCTTCTTTTATAAAATAATCTTCCTCTTATGTTTTTTGTACTAAAATATTTATTTTCGATTATATTATAAAAATATTTTCTTCTATTAAAATTTTCTTTATTTTTAATACTATCTGTATGAATATATTTTTTCCCATTATTTTGATAATATGCACTTTTTACATTATTTAAACCCACTGTATAATTTATAACTCTTTTGCTTAATATTTGGGTATTATCAACTTTCTTATTATATATTATTTTTTCATTAAAAAAATATGATATATTTTTAACGAAGTAAAAACTTTGATTTTTTTTTAAAATTAAACTTATCTTTACATCAGGAAAAATATTTTTATTATTAATTTTATTTAAAATACTAAAAAACATCGTACTAATGTGTTACATTTATTTGTAGCTTATTTAATTTATATTTTTATATTATTTACTTTTTTCTTTTTTTTTTTTTTTTTGTTATTTAAACCTACTTTATAACATAAAAATATTAATATTTAAACATTTTTAAAAAATTAATGTTTTATTTTAAAATTATGAAGAAACTAAAAATAAAAAAAAAATCTTAAAAAAAAAAAAATTATATATATTTACATATATAAATAAATACATATTAACAAAATAACCTTTTTGAAAAAATTTAAAAAAAAAAAAAAAATACACATAAACATAAAATATGAAGTATTTTTAGAAGCGTATTTTTTCTTTTTTCATATTCTTAAACAAAAGGAGTATAAAACACAAATTTTAATTTTTATAGATTGTAAAAGTATATTTTTATTTATAATTTTTTCTTTTTTTTTTTTTTTTTTTTTGCTAATAAAAATAATTATTATTTAAATATGTTTCCATTTTGTTTAAATGTAACTTATAATTTTTTTTAATATTTTCATGTAAGAAATTAGAAACTTGATAAGCATATGATTCTGATAATAAAAATAATTCTCTTGATATACCTAAATGATTTTTGATTAAAATATTTGATAAAACTTTATGAAATTTAGGAGCTACAATGAAGCAAAATGCACTATTACAATATAATTCTATTTCTTCATTTAGAGGGTCTAAAATTATTTTAGGTATGTATTTAGATTTATATTCATAAAATAATTTATCTCTGATATTTTGATATTCATTTTTATTTTCTTTATTATTATTATCATCATCTTCTAAAATAAAATCTGATGAAGAATACTTATCATCAATGAAATTTTGATATTTCTGTTTATCAACTATTCCTATGTTAATTGAGTTAATAACATAATTTAAACTTATATTATTATAAATACAATTTATCATAATAGAATTAATAATACTTGATAATATATATGAGCATTCATGAAGGATTTGAACTTTGAAATAAAATTGTTGAAATTTATATAAACTATGATCAAATATTTGTTCAAAATTTTTTGTAATAATTTCTTCAAAAATTTTCTCTCTTTCAGTTCTATTTCCATTCATATTTTTTATTCTTATATTAAATTGAACATATTCTATATCTTTACTAAATATTAAATTATTTTGAGTTGGACCTATTAATGTAGTAGTTACTAGGCTTTTTGAACCATTTCCTAAAATTATTTTTTTATTATCTTTTATCTCATAATTATAATCACCACCAACAATTTTTATTAATTTATTATTAGTATTTTTATTATATATTACACCGTTAATATTCCCACTTATGTATTTACAAGTTTTATTTTCTTCATTTATTTGATCAATATCAATATGTATTGGCAAAATAGAATCAAAAGAACGATTGTCTGATCTTTTCTCTATTTTCATTTTTCAAAAAAAAATAAAAAAAAAATTCTAATAATAAATAAGTATATAATATATAAACTGTAAAATAAATGAGAATTTCTTTAAAATACATAAAAAAAAAATAATCAAAATGGTAATTGTATTCATTTAAAATTAATTATATTAAAAATATTATAGATGAAATAATAAAATTATAATAAAAAAATAAGAAAAAACATTATTATATATATTAAAATTAAAATTTAAAGCAGATTAAATTCTGAAAATTAACGTCATTTAAAAAAAAAAAAAAAAAAAAAACGTTTTGACATAAAAAAAAATTAATAGAATAAATTAAAATAAATAATTTATTTTTAAAAAATATTTGCTAAAAAAAAAAAAGAAGCAAATATATTTTGTTAATTGAATGTTTTTTTTTTTTTTTTTTTGATTAATTCAACTTAATTTGTATGAATAAAAATTTTCAAAAAAAAAAAATAACATTAAGAAAAAATTTTTAGAAAAAGATAATGAATATAATATGAAAAGTTATTTTTCTGAATATCCAAATTTTTTTAATGAAAAATTAAGACCAAATAATTTAAATGAAATTTTAAAAAAATTAGAAAAATTTATTGAAAATGAACATGTAATTTTTATCACTTCAGGTGGAACTAAAGTACCACTTGAAAAAGCGGAAATTAGAAATATAGATAACTTCTCAACAGGTAGAAGAGGAGCACTTATTTGTGAGTATCTTTTAAAAATAAATAAAAAGGTGATTTTTTTACATAGAAAGGGATCAATAATTCCTTTTGAATATCATTTAAAAAGTTTCATAAGAATGGATAATATAGATGTTGTTGATAACAAAATTGCTTTTAATTTAAATGAAGAAGAGCAAAATATATTAATGGATAATATTAAAAATTACAAAAAATATTCTAAAAATGTTTTTTTTATTTCCTTCAATACTGTTTTTGAATATGGTTACTATTTAATTGAAATTTGTAATTTATTAAATGAAAATTTAAATAAAAAATATACGAACTATTTAAATATTATAAAAACAGAACAAATATTTAATTGTAACTCCCTAGATCAACCATATGCTAAAAATTTTTTTAATGATTTGTTATTTTTTTTCACTAATTATAAAGTTTGTCACAAATTAAATGAACAAAAAGCGAGTAAATTATTAGAAAATCTAATTATATTTCAAAGACTTTATTCAGAAAAAAATCAAAATAATAATAGTATTCAAGATATTGAAAATTCTTTTAATTATATATCATCTATATTAAATATTATTATTAAAAATAAAGAATACATATTACTTGAAGAACATAAAGAAAACATAATTTTAAAAATTAATCTTTTAATTGGTAAAATGAATTATACTGAAAATTATGTTATAGATCAAATATTAAATGAAAATAAAAATGAAAATAAAAATGAAAATAAAAATGAAAATATAAGTAAATGTAAAGATTCATATAAAAAAGAACATTTAAATGAAAAGAACAATTCGAATAAAAATTTAAAAAAACATGATATTTTCAAAGAAAATGAATATTTAAATAGTAATGTAAAAAAAAATAATGAAAATAAATTAAAAGGATTATTTATTACATCTCATCTAGTTATACTTTGTGCCGCTGCTAGCGATTTTTATATTCCGTTTAACGAATTATATGAAAATAAAATAGAAAGCAACAATTCTCTTCATTTAAATATGTGGTTAACACCTAAATTCTATAAAATCATAAAAAAATATTTTCTTTTATTAAAATTATGTATTTTCAAATTGGAAAATGATGAAAAAAAGTTGATAGAAAAATCAAATGAGAGAATACAATATGCTGATATGTTAATAGCAAATGTATTAACTGAAAGATACAATTTTGTTTACATTTTCAATAAAGAATTTGATTATTTTTTATTGAAAAAAGCCGAATATGAGCCAATTGAAAATCAAATATGCAACTATATATGCAAACACTTCAATTATATGAAAAATGCATAACATTATTTATTTATATATATTTCATAATTTATTATTATATCTAAATTTTTTTTTTTTTATATTAAGATTGCTGCTCAACTTTTACTTAATTATTTCATTCCACTTATTTGTGCCAAAATTTGATATATTTGCATAATACATTAGTAAACTTTTTTTTTTTTTTTTTTTTTTTTTTTACATAAGAATATTCACTTAAACTAAAATATATTCTTTGTTTCTCATACTAACATACATTCTTTGTTTCTTATACTAACATACATATTTTGTTTCTTAAAATAATAAATTAAAAAGAAAAATATAATACTAGTATGGTAATTATATATTATTTATTTAGTAAAAAAAATAATAAATATCTTTTTTTTTTTTTTTTTTCTTTAAATAAAAAAAGAAGTCTGAATAAATGTAGTATTAATTGTAATAAAATATTATTATATGGTGTATCTTAATTCTATTAAATCCGTAACATGTATTTATTTAAAAAAAATTATATAAATGATAGATAGAAGATAATATCATTTTTATCATAAAAAATGTAAATATAGTATAATGAAAATATTCTTAATCATTTCAAATTTAAAATATAAGATTTAGCTGAAATATTTTATATTTTTTTTTCCAAAATGTAACTATTAATAATATAAAAATCTTTTATGTAACTATATAATTCCTAAAATTATACGAATACGGATAATAATCTATAAAATAAAAAAAAAAAAAATTATAAGCCCTCTTATATTACATATTAATATAGAAAAAAAAATTTTCTTTTTTTTTTTTAATATGATTTACTAGCACTTGTATACATGTGTTTTTTTTTTATAATTGAAATAAAGTAGTTTAACATAAGAAGTTTTAAAAATAAATAATTATATTTTTAGTTCCTCTTTTTTCTTTATGATTTTAAAAAAAATTATTATTACTGTTATTAAGTTAAAGAAACAAATGAAAACATAATTAGTAAAACATACATAATATGAAAAATAATATTAAACTTTTATACTTTGATATAAAATTAAAAAAAAAAAATAATTAAATTATAATTCTTAAAAAATTTAAACAAATATTAATTAAATAATTTTTTTTTCTCTAGATTTTTTTTTTTTTTTTTTTTTATATATATTTATCATATATTTTTAATACGTTTTTATATATATAAATTAGTGCTTTATATAGAAATGGCGAAAATGAAAAAAAAATAAAAAAGTTTTTCAAAAAAACAATTATATATATATAAATATATATATGTATATTAATAAATATGTAAACAAATAAGTATTTATATATATATATATATATATATATATATATATATATATATATATATATATATATATATATATATATATATATTTATATTTATAAATTAAAATTTTATCTTTATATATATATATGTTTGTTTTATTTTTTATTTTTTAAATATATTTTTATATTTTTTTATATAATTAATAAATTATAAACATGAAGGAGAAAAATGAAAAACATACAGATTTATTTGAGAAAAGGCAAAACTACAACTCAAATGAACTTAAAAGTGGAGAAGAACTTTCTTCAGAAGAAGAATATATAAAAAGAAAAAAATTACAAGAGAAAAAAAAAAAGAAATATGAAAAAGAAAGAGAAAAAGGAAAAGAAAAAGAAAAAGAAAAAGAAAAGGAAAAGGAAAAAGAAAGAGAAAAAGAAAAAGAAAAAGAAAAGGAAAAAGAAAAAGAAAAGGAAAAAGAAAAAGAAAAGGAAAAAGAAAAAGAAAAAGAAAGAGAAAAAGAAAAAGAAAGAGAAAAAAAAAGAAAATGCGAAGAAATGAAAAGAAGAAAGTTAGAAGAAAGTTATAATAGTGATAGAAAAAAAAAAAAAAAAAAAAATTCGTCCAGTGAAGATAGTAGTACAAATAGTTATTCAAGTAGAAGCAGCGATAATTCCAGTAAAAATTATGAGAAAGCAAAACGTAAAAAAAAGTACAAATATAAAAATAAAAATAGAGAAAGTGAAAGTTGTTCTGATAGCATGACTATGAATATAAAAAGAAATAGAAGTAAAGAAAGATTAAAAAAAAAACGTGATAGAAGCATTGAATATAAAATAAAAGGAAAATATAGAAATGTTGAAATACGAATGAAGAGTAAAAATAGAGACAAAAGTTTAGAAAGAAAGATAAAAGATAGATATAGAGATAAAAGAATTAAAAGAAGTAGTAGTCGTAATAGTAGCAATAGTACTAGTTATAGTGGCAGAAGTAGTAGTAGTAGTAGTAGTAGTAGTAATAGCAGAAGTATAATTAGAAGTAGTAGTAGAAGCATAAATAAAAGAAGAAGAATAAGTAGTTTAGAAAGGAAAATGAAAGATAGATATAGAAGTAGCGAAAAATATAGGAGTATGGATGATAGAAGTTCAGAAAGATACAGTAGATCCAGAAAAAGAAAAAGAAAAAGGGAAAGAAATAAAAATTATAAATTTGATTCTCCACCGGAGTCATATGATGAAGAAATAGAAATGAAATCCTCAAAAAATACTATTACAAATAATAAAAATATTGGTATCATTAGTAATAATGATACTATAAATAGTAATAATATAATAAGCAGTGAAACGGTAATAACTCAAAATGCAAGTTCAAATAATATTGATAATTTAATTCAAACATTAAATAGTAATATTATTAGTAGCAATAATAATAATGATGTTAATAGTATTAGTAACTCTATTAGTGCTACTTCTCTAGCAAATGATAATAAATTAATTAATAATATGTTAATTGATAACAGAAATAAAATAGATGAAAAAAATTTATTACTAAATCAATCCCATTTAAATATTCTTTTAAATAATCAATTAAAATTAAATAGTCAATCTTTACATAATTTATATAATAACACCTTAAGTATAAATGAATTATGTTTATCTATTGATTCAAATATTGAGAAGACAGCTAGAGAGTTATATGTTGGGAATATACCTCAGCACATTGACGTTCAACAAATTGTAAAATTTCTGAATAGTTGTTTGTTGATTTTATATAATAAAGAAAATGAAAATGAAAATATTTGTTTAAAAGCATGTATAAGGGGTGATACACATTATGCTTTTGTTGAATTTCGAAATATTCAAGATACATCTAATTGTATGTTATTAAACGGAATAAACTTTTTTGGTAACAATTTAAGAATAGGTAGACCTAAAACTTTTCCCGTAGAATTAAATAGTTTAATCCCACCAGCAACTATTCCTGTAATAGATAATTATTATTTATCACAAGGATTATTAGGATTGAGAGCATTTTCTATTTTTTGTCAAAATGAAGAAAAAATTAGAAATGACTATTTACCTATTAATATGATTAAATTACAAAAATTATGTGTTTCTAATATATCTAAAAATAATGAAACAAGTAAAATTAAGGAACTTTTAGAAGCATTTGGTGAAGTTAAAAATTTTGAATTTTTTGAAGGAGAAGAATGCTCAGATACATATATCTGTTTAGTTGAATATATTAATGTAGAAAATGCAATTCAAGCACATAAAATATTAAATCAAAATACAAGTTACAAAATTCAATTTGAATATGAGATTTTAAATGACCCAGTTATTAATAAATTAGTCAAAAAAAAATATATGAAATCAGAAAATTCTATTTTAACCTTACAAGTCCCAACAAAAGTCATTGTTCTAAACAAAATAGCTACTTTTGAAGAATTATCAGATACTAATGAATATAAAGATATAATAGAAGATATAAAGATTGAATGTGAAAAATATGGAAAAATCATTGAAATAATTTTACCAATTTTCAGCCAAGATACATATGACTATCTAAAAAATATTAAAAAAATTGAAAATAATGATACATATGAGGATGTGAATGAAGAAAAAGAAGAAAATTTAGTTGATAATATAAAGGAAAAAGAAAATGAGGAAGAAATACATTCTAATGATGATAATATTAAAAGAAAAAGTGAAACAAATAATAATGAAACTATATCAAATGAAAAAGAAAAAGAAAATAGTATTAATAATGATAGCATATATGATAATGAAAATGAAAACAATAAATCCTTTAATACAGACATTGAAAAAGAAAAAGATGATAATAACTTGAAGGTGGAAAATAAAAATAATAAAAATTTAAATCACTTAGATGAAAATTGCAATTCCTTAAATGAAGAGGAAAAAGATGTAAATAACAATAAAGAAAATGACGAAAAAAATATAATACATAATGAAGAAAATGATGAACAAAATAAAAGGGAAAATATCCAAAATGAAGATTTAACGCATCCAAATTATGATTTAACTTCTATTGGATGTGCTTTTATATATTTTGAAAACATAGAATCAGCTACAAAAGCAAGAAAGGAATTAAGTGGTAGAAAATTCGGAGCTAATATTATTGAAGCTAATTATTACAGTGAAAAAAAATTTTTAATGAAAAACTTCAAAAATGTTAAATATAATTATAAAAAATCTCATTCTTCTCTTTTTAATTTAAGCTTAAAGCTAGGAAATTACACTTACTCTGATTACTCTGAAGATGAATAAGATACTACAATTGAAATAAATTTATATAATAAAAATAAATCCATTAAAAAAAAATTTTTCTCAAAAAAAACAAATATATATATATATATGTACAAAATTAACTTTTTTTTTTTTTTTTTTTTTTTGTCAAAAACAAGATTAAAAAAAAAAAAAAATTGAAGTAAATGCTATATTAGTAGTTTTATTATATCTATATTATTATACTTAAAATTGTGTTGATAAAAATATAAATATATAAATACATATAAATTGAAAAAATATATATATACATATATATATATATATATATATAATATATATGCTTAATAACAAACATCTTTATTTTTTTTTTTTTTTATTTTTTTAGAATATCTAACATTAAAAAAAAAAAAAAAAAAAAAAAAAAAGCAATATATAAAGAGAAAAAAATAAATATTACTTTTTTTTTTTTTTTTTTTTCTTTTTTTTATTTATTTTTATATATTTTTAGAGTAAACCAACGTTCAATGTATATCTCAATTATTATAAAGACACTTAAAATAAAAATATGTCAAACTTAACAAATGCAAAATGATATGATAAAACTAGAAAAAAAAGAGAAATTATATATACATAGATTTGTATTATAAAACAAGTTTTATATTTTTTTTTTTTTTTTTTTTTTTAAAATATATGTTGTATATACTTTTTAAAATAAGGTTTTTTTTTTTTTTTTTATTTTTAATAGTTATATTCTTTAATATTTTTTATATGCTCTTCAAAGTTTTTTAAAAGTTTCCATTTAATTTGAAAAATTTATATCTTAATTATATATTTAAAATTTTTTGGTATCTTTTTTGTTTAATTTACAAATTAATTATTCTAATTTGTTTTTTTTTTTTTTTTTTTATTGTTATTAAAAAATTTCTTTTTTATATTTATTAAAATTAGTAAGTACCTGATAAATTTTTATTAATTCATACTTTTTGTTTTTTTTCTATTATTATTTTAAGTATGTTCATTTTTGTATATTAATATCAAAAATTTTTTCTTGAAAGTATCTATTTCTTATATATATATATATGTGTATATTTATCTTTTTCTTCTACTTAATTTTTTTGCAATTCTTTTTTGTAAGATTCCTTTCTTTTTTGCTCTAGCTGCTAATTTTCCTTTTAATTTTTTCTTAAGTTTTCCATATTCTAAAAGTGCATTTTTTTTTTTTTTTTTAAATTTTTGTATTAGCATCATAACTGATTTTTTTTTTTCTTTTTCTTTATTTGTTTTAAATCTATTATTTTCACTTTTTTTATTTTTCATTTTCATTATTTGACTTTTCTTTAATTTTTTTTTATACAATAAATCTTCTTCTGTAATTACTTTTTCTTTTTCATTTTCACTATTGCTTTCTGATTCTTCTTCACTATCTTCTGCATTGCAAATTTCTCTCAATTCTGATAAAACTATATTTTTGTTATTTTCAATGTAATCTCTCATTTTTTTTAATTTTTTAAAATCTTCATCAGTTAAAATTTGTTCGCTTATTATTTGTTGATTTTTTTCAACTATTTTTAATTCTTTCTTCTTTTTCTCTTCTTTTCTTTTCAATTTTTTTGATTTCTTGTGTAGGGGTAATATATCATTTTTTTTTTCATTACTCTCTGTAATTTTGTTCTCTTCATCATCTCTTTTTCTCTTTTTTTTTTCTAAGATTTTTTTACTTTCTTCTTCTTCTTCTTCTTCTTCTTCCACTATATGTATTTTTTTTTTTTTTTTTTTTTTTTTTTTTTTTTTTTTTTTTTTCTTTTTTTTTTTCTTTTTCTTTTTTTTCACTTTCATTTTTTTTTTCATTTTTTTTTTTTTCTTCTTTATGTTCTTTGTCTATATTTTCACTTTCATTTTTTTTTTCATTTTTCTTTTTTTCTTCTTTATGTTCTTTGTCTATATTTTCATTTTCATTTTTTTTTTCATTTTTCTTTTTTTCTTTTTTATGTTCTTTGTCTATATTTTCATTTTCATTTTTTTTTTCATTTTTCTTTTTTTCTTTTTTTATATTTTCACTTTTAATTCCTACTTCTTTGTCTAGCAAATATGAATATTGTAAAATGGATTTATCATTAACAATTTCTGAACAATTCAGAATTTTTTTTTTTTGAATTAACATAGCTGTTTTTTTATCTAAATATTTTTTATTCAAAATTTGAGGATTTATTTCTTTACAGATATTTATGAAACGTCTAATAATACTTGAAATTTGTTTATTTTTGAAATCTTTAAAAACAATAACAGCTTCAAAAATTTCTTCATTTAAACAATTAGGGAACTTAATAACTATTTCTATAATGGCATTTATAATTAAATATACAAATTCTTCTGACAAATATTCACTTAAAAATTTTTTAATTAAAACATAAACAATTCTCTGAATATATAAAGGGGGCATATAGTCATGAATACATTGTATAAATATAGATAAATATTTTGATATTGTGTTTTTATTTTTTAAATGAAGTAAAACATTTTCGTAATATAAAAAAAAATTTTCTTCAATAATTTTATTCCTTTGATATATCCTACTTAAAATATTTAGTAATAATAATTTTATGACTCCATTATTAAATTTATATTTTAAACAAATTAAGTTAAATATATTTGAAGAAAATTTATATGCATCATAAATTAGATCAATAAAAGTATAATTTACATATTTGCTTAATTTTTTTTTATCCATTTGTTCTTCATCCGAAGAATTATGATTATTATACAATTGTTCCATAATTTTTTCTTTTTTTAAATGCAACTGTTTTATTTTAGACTTGCTTAATTTTTGATGTGTTTGGTTACTGATATTTTTCAATTCATCTATTTTTTTATTTTTATCTATTTTTTCTTTCTCTATTTTCACAACTAACTCTTTATTATCATATTTTCCTAATAAAGCAAAACATACGCATTTTACTATTTTTAAATTTTTATAAAAAATCCCTTCAGATATAATATTCACATTTTTTTTGTTCACATAAATACTTTTTTTAGCTAGTTCTATTAATACACTACAAGCAAAATTATTTATACATTCCGATATATTTATACCAGAAAAATAATTAAAATTTGATGCAGAATATTTTTTTCGTATTCTTTTTTTTTGACCATTTTCAATAAAGGCTTCATGTAACAAACATAAAATTTCATTTTTTAATCTTTCGTTTTTCGTCTTCATATTTATTTGTACTACTTTATCAATGACACATTTAAAAATATAATATTTTATTTTATTAAACTTTATATCACTAATAAAAACTAACACTTGCAAATATTTTATGCTATCAATATGCCGTTTCATTTGTTTGATTGTCTTAATAATGCTAAATAGGACAGTACTATACAAAATATGTTTAAAATGAATTAACAACTGACTAACTAAAAAAAATAATTCATCTGTGTAATTTAATTCTTCCTTATTTTTAATCATTAAAAAATTAATGTATTCATTTAAATCTTCATAAATAATTAAAGGATTATCTTCTTTTTTTTTTATATTTTCTTTCTCATCTTTTTCTTTATTTAAACTCTTCAGTATTTCTTTTTTTTTTAAATCTATATTTATATTGAGCAATTCATTATCTTCATTATCTGAATCAAAACTATTTTTTATATTTTTCATTATTTGTTTTTGTTCTTCTTCATCTTCTTCCTCTATATCAATATCACTTAAATTAAAATCTGTATCTTTATCATCATAACTAGAAAATATATTAGATGAATTTTCATAATTATCTATATAATTATTTTCATTTATTTTACTAAAAAAATGACTAGTATAACTTAAAAAAGTTAATTGACTACATAATAAATCATTTTTTTTAGATGGATTTAATAATAATACACTATAATTAAAAAGGAATTTATCAAACTGATCATAAAAATCATTATTATATAATTTATAATTTTTACATATATTATGTTGTAGGTTGTTCAAAAATTTTTTTTTTTTTAATTTTTGTTCATTCATTGTCAATATTTATATACAGAAGTAAAAAAAAAAAAAAAAAAAAAGAAAATTAAATTTAACAAAAAATAAGCAATTTCTATATATTATTATTGTTTACAATTTATAATGAACTTTATAATAACATTTTTATTTTTTAATATACAATTATTATAATATTATTATATTTTTAATTCTTAATTAAATATGTTAACTTTTACAAATTGATATAAAAATTCTTCATAGAAGTTGTCAAACTTTTGTTTCATAATTTCTTTCTTCTTTTTGAAAAAATATCATATTCAATCTCGTTCAATATAAATAATTTAGTAGTTCACATAGTTTATCTTTAAACTTTAAGTAAATGCAATGGTTTCAAATTGTATCTATTTTTATTAAAAAAATTTATCTTCAGTTGCTTTTGTTAGCAATATTTAGTGAAAAATATTTTTTTTTTTTTTTTTTTTTTTTTTTTTTAAGGTTATAATATTATACTTTTTTTTTTTTTTTT